GAGCATCGATCCACGCATTTGGGATACATGCTTAAACCAAGTCAGCGAGCCTGACCACTCGATCCAGTTAGTCGCCTCTTACGACAAGCATGGGTTGCTGAAGATCAGTAATTTTCACTGGACATGTCACGATCCGGGGCTTATGGCGTCTTTCCGGACTTAGCGTATAGCAAGAGTGATGGAAAAGTCTTTTTCAGCAGCGATTTCAAAAACATTAACCGCTCCCGTATAGATGAGATTATCTCCCTTGAAAAGCAGATGGCACTAAAACTACGATGTACTGAAAACAAATTCATTCATACAAAAAATACGTAATATATATAAAGTACACTTCCGAGATATGATAGGTCTAAATTGTTTTTCCGAATTATTAAAAGGGAGCTTACTCTATTATCGGCCGAGAATGTTTGGACACTAAAGGCCAGGTAAAAGGCGACTGTGCTTGTCGTAAGAGGCGACTAACGGGATCGGGTGCTCAGGCTCGCTGACTTGGTTGATGCATGTCATCGATCCCAATTGCATGGATCGATGCTCATGATATCAATCACTGGATTGTCTGGTCCAGAGTCGATTATTTACAGACCGCAGTCATATAGCTGGAATATTGATGAGTGCGGCGTAAAACAACCAACCAACCAACCAACATTATGTACATAGACTACTTGGATATGCCTGGAACTAAATTAAGATTTTAAGTTTAGGTAGATTAATCAGGAGGGCCAATAACACCATTTAGCTAAATATTGCTAAATGACATTATTTTAGCAACAAGTGGCGTCCTTTGATACGTGCCTGCGGTAGGCCAATGTCATTCGAAAAATGTATGGAAAACCCCGTATTAACACATACATTTTATCAAGACGGCTAAGCCATCTTCTGTTGTCAATTACTATTATCGGCTTTGACGGAAAAGACGTCTTGTTGACACATACGGAATAAATAGAGGATATTTAATGTGTATTCTCAAATACCACTTTTATCTCATCGAGTGAAGTGGGGAGAGTCTAATAGTTTCCTGAGTGAATATATAAGTCTCTCCCCACTTCCACCGCCGTATAAAGGGGGTTTGCGAAAAGAATATAGTTCGTGAATAAAACTAGCCCTGTTAATATATGTTATGCGAAATATATTATTTCATATCGAGTATTAAGTTCCCCGGACATTTTTGTTTGTCATAATTAAACATTCTTGTTTAAAATGAAAACAGAAATCATTTTCAAACAGCGATTATGTAATTGGCGTAGGAATACATAAACAGTTAGAACTGTGACCATGTCGAACGATCAGCTGAGCGCTCTCCAGGCTTACAAAGTCCGCCAAATTTGATCAAATTTTCTCACAGATAAGTATGAAAGTTGACATAAACACATTTATAGAACCCCGAACATTTTAACTGCAACATCGGTGCTTGCTGTCATAAGGAAAGTTCAATTCTCGGAAAATTCAAGCGGGCGCTCCTCGCCTCGGCGGTACGTCTCGCTGTCGCGAGTTGTGCCTTGTGTCTGGCGAAGCATGTCCGGCGCAAGAGTGATATTAACATTGCCATTGATGTTATTTCCAGACATCAGACTCGTCAAAAAGTTCCTGTGGTCAGTTGAAGAGAAGTTATGCACCTGCGGTTGAGACTGAGTACAGTAGTTCCGGCACCTTGTTATATCAGTCACTAGTCACTACATACCTCCCTCGTGTGTCAACCACAACCCCATGAAGCATGACATACCTCCATCGTGTGTCAACCACATGCCCGTGAGGCTTGACATACCTCCATCGTGTGTCCACCACAACCCCATGAGGCATGACATACCTCTCCCGTGTGTCCACCACAACCCCATGAGGCATGACATACCTCTCCTGTGTGTCCACCACAATCCCGTGAAGCATGACATACCTCTCCCGTGTGTCCACCACAACCCCGTGAAGCTTGACATACCTCTCCCGGGTGTCAACCACAACCCCAGGAGGCATGACATACCACTCCCGTGTGTCCACCACAACCCCACGAGGCATGACATACCTCTCCCGGGTGTCAACCACAAACCCCATGAGGCATGACATACCTCTCCCATGTGTCCACCACAACCTCATGAGGCATGACATATCACTCCCATGTCTCCAACACAACCCCACGAGGCATGACATATCACTCCCATGTCTCCAACACAACCCCACGAGGCATGACATACCTCTCCCGTGTGTCCACCACAACCCCAGGAGGCATGACATACCACTCCCGTGTGTCAACCACAACCCCACGAGGCATGACATACCTCTCCCGGGTGTCAACCACAAACCCCATGAGGCATGACCTACCTCTCCCATGTGTCCACCACAACCCCACGAGGCATGACATACCTCTCCCGTGTGTCCACCACAACCCCACGAGGCATGACATACCTCTCCCGTGTGTCCACCACAACCCCAGGAGGCATGACATACCGCTCCCGTGTGTCCGTCACAACCCCAGGAGGCATGACATACCACTCCCGTGTGTCCACCACAACCAAAAGGCATGACATACCACTCCTGGGTGTCCACCACAACCCAATGATGCTTGACATACCGCTCCCGGGTGTCAACCACAACCCCACGAGGCATGACATACCACTCCCGGGTGTCAACCACAACCCCACGAGGCATGACATACCTCTCCCATGTGTCCACCACAACCCCACGAGGCATGACATACCACTCCCGGGTGTCAACCACAACCCCATGAGGCATGACATACCTCTCCCGTGTGTCCACCACAACCCCACGAGGCATGACATACCTCTCCCATGTGTCCACCACAACCCCACTAGGCATGACATGCCACTCCTGGGTGTCCACCACAACCCCACGAGGCATGACATACCTCTCCCATGTGTCCACCACAGCCCCACGAGGCATGACATACGTCTCCCATGTGTCCACCACAACCCCACGAGGCATGACATACCTCTCCCATGTGTCCACCACAACCCCACGAGGCATGACATACCTCTCCCATGTGTCCACCACAACCCCACGAGGCATGACATACCTCTCTCATGTGTCCACCACAACCCCACGAGGCATGACATACCTGTCCCGTGTGTCCACCACAACCCCACGAGGCATGACATACCTCTCCCATGTGTCCACCACAACTCCACGAGGCATGACATACCTCTCCCGTGTGTCCACCACAACCCAACGAGGCATGACATACCTCTCCCGTGTGTCCACCACAACCCAATGAGGCGTTAAACCCAGTGAAACGCGTTTTGAACGCTATTTATTTCCCTGGACTTTTACCGGTTGCATAAATATTTTACGCACGCTTTAAGTAATTTGAGATTGTCAGCACTTGTCAGCAGTTGTATTTACACGCATGAATGGGTTATTCCTTTATTTTATCGTTGTATCGATCAATATCACTACTGTTTTGGTAGTGGAACACGAGATACACCTCGGAAAGTGTGTATACATACACTTTTACAAATACCACCCTTGTGTCTGTGCCACCCTCTGACTGTCTCGTGGGGTGAGACGAAATCCTAAACTTGTGTATCATACACCCTTTTGGCGCGCATGTACACTACAGCCGTGTTAGAATATATGTCCCGTATGTCCTTTACCCCAGAATAGGTCTTCAGCAACCCATGCTTGCCGTAAAAGGCGACTATGCTTGTCGTAAAAGGCGACTAAGGGGATCGGGTGGTCAGGCTCGCCAATTGCGTGGATTTATGTTCATGATGTAAATCACTGGATTGTCTGGTCCTCGATCATTTACAGACCCCCGTCATATAGCTGGAATATTGCTGAGTGCCGTCATATAGCTGGAATATACCTGAGTGCGGCGTAAAACAACAAACCAACTGTAAGGTGAGGGGAAATAGCTACCTCTGTGTGTGTGTGTGTGGGTGTGTGTGTGTGTGTGTGTGTGTGTGTGTGTGTGTGCTTGTACTAGTCAGGACTAATGCCGATTTATAGAACTAGCCCACTGAGATACCATGCCACAGTATAACATGAGTACCCCACCCAGACACAGTATACTGACTCCGATCCGACCACTCCTTGTTTAGCCTCTTAATGCCGAGCGCCAGACAGGGTAACAACAAGTACCATCTTTAAACGTATTTTGGTATGACGCGGCTTGAACCCCGGATTTTCATCTCTCCGGGCGGACGCTCTACCACTAGACAACGGAGGCGGTCAATGAGTCTCTGTAACTATATGTACAAGATAATCGCAATGTGCCACACAACTATCTGTCACTTTAGCGCACACATCTGTCGCAATGTGACAGAGAAGCGTCGTAATCGGATCATATGGTTGGTTGGTTGGTTTGTTGTTTAACTCTGCACTCAACAGTATTCCAGCTATATGACGGCGGTCTGTAAATAATCGAATCTCGACCAGACAATCCAGTGATTGACATCATGAGCATCGATCCACGCATTTGGAATACGATGACATGCATCAACCAAGTCAGCGAGCCTGGCCACCCGATTCCGTTAGTCGCCCCTTACGACAAGCACAGTCGCTTTTTACGGCAAGCATGGGTTGCTGAAGACTAGTTCACCCCGGATCGTCACGGGTCCGGCGGTAATAAACAATCACTCATTATTTAACACCTAGCGGAACTTACAATGCTTAATAAATTTACGAGAAGAAACCACACAGTATCTCAACAACCAACAACGAATACGAATCTGGCTTATACGTAACAAACCTATCTAATCAGAGCCTGGTATATTGTCGCATAGTGCTTGATTGACGAGACGTTTAGAAACAGGGGGAAAGGCTCAGTGTACCCAACCTCGTTATAACGCTAACAAAACGATTTGCCTTTTCCGTATCTGCCCGCAGGAAGCATTGTTTTAAATTATCATCGAACATACTTCGCGGCATATATATTTAATAAAGTAAACAATGAAATTCGTTAAACCATTAAATGTTTGTTGTATAACGGAAAGTCGCTTTGGCTTGTAAAATATGTTAGGTCATATGTCATTCATTTACTAAGTTGTTGTTACGGCATGTGAGGACAGAAATCCAAGTGGTGTAGGATTGCAGATATAGTTCGCAGTTTTAACTATGAAACGTCCCCATTACCCCAGGTTTCAACGTGGCACCCGACCTTCAGAGACCCTGGAAGAACATTGCACCGTTCCTGATTGGATCGGATATGAATTAACAACAACAAAACTTTTCCAAGAAAAATGCATGATCCAGATGCACTATCCGGACCCGGATTATACAGAAACCTTGTGTGGTGTTGTGTTTTAAAGGTCGTTGTGTGAAACTCGAGCTGTACATGTTTTTGTGTCGGTACGGTGTATTCAACTTCTTGGAATGATAACGTTTGGATATGTTATGATATTGGTATGCGTGGATTGCGTATGTGTAATGTTTAAAAACAAGCTTTACATTCGTATAAAAGGACGCCAACAGTCAGAGTGACAATATAGGAGACAATGGCGACTCCAGTTCCTGGAAGGAGGAAAATACATCTACAGGAGACAATAACGTTTGAGAGATGGGTATGTATTGCATAGTTCGTCTTCATTATACCGTGTATTATAGAAACAACCCATGTTGGTTTTAGATGACGCAGAGCTCAGTGTTGCACTCACAAAACAAAAGGGGACAGATAAGATTGTCGTTTGACACTTCAGTTTGACAGGACATTAGTAACGCATTAAAGTAAATCTGTCTCCCGTGATAATATATACACCAGTTCACCTAGAGGACATGGGGGTGGGGAGATTAGCGTCTCCCCCCACCCATCACACACACATACGTATATACGCTTCGTATATAATGTTCTGATGCACGAGGGGCGGTCGGGTAGCCTAGGGGTTAAAGCGTTCGCTCGTCACGCAGAAGACCCGGGTTCGATTCCCGACATGGGTACAATGCCCATTTCTTGTGTCCCCCGCCGTGATATTGCTGGAATAATGCTAAAAGTGGCGTAAAACCATACTCACTCACTCACTCACTCTAATGTATGAACAGTGCCGAACACTGCTCTGATGCCTGAGTGGTGCTCTGATGTCTGAACGGTGCTCTGATGTCTGAACGGCGTCTGGTGTCTGAACACTGCTCTGGTGCCTGAACACGGCTCTGATGTATGAAGTGTTCTTATGTCTGAACACTGCGCGGATGTCTGAACACTGCTCTGATGTATGAACGGTGCTCTGATGCCTGAACACTGCTCTGATGTCTGAACGGTGCTCTGATGCCTAAACACTGCTCTGATGCCTGAACACTGCTCTGATGTATGAACGGTGCTCTGATGCCTGAACACTGCTCTGATGTCTGAACAGTGCTCTGATGCCTGAACACTGCTCTTGTGTCACAGTGTTCTTATGTCTGAACACTGCGCGGATGTCTGAACAGTGCTCTGATGCCCGAATACTGCTCTGATGTATGAACGGTGCTCTCATGTCTGAACGGCGTCTGGTGCCTGAACACTGCTCTGATACCTGAACACCGCTCTGATGTATGAACAGTGCTCTTATGTCCGAACACCGCGCGGATGTCTGAACGGTGCTCTGGTGTATGAACAGTGCTCTTATGTCTGAACACTGCGCGGATGTCTGAACAGTTGTCTGATGTCGGAACGATGTTCTGATGCCTGAACACTGCTCTGGTGTATGAACAGTGCTCTTATGTCTGAACACTGCGCGGATGTCTGAACAGTGCTCTGATGTCTGAATGATGTTCTGATGCCTGAACAGTGCTCTAATGTATGAAGAGTGCTCAGATATCCGAACAGTGCTCTGATGTCTGAACGATGCTCTGATGTTTGAAAGGAGTTCTTCTGTATGATCGGTGCTCTGATATCTGAACGGTGTTCTTATGTATGAACGGTGCTCTGATGTCTGAACGATGTTCTGATGTCTGAACACTGCTCTGATGTCTGAACAGTGTTCTGGTGTATGAACAATGTACTTTGACTTGCAGGGTCGTTCGTGGGGGTTAATCTGTTACACTGTCGTATACGTGATTAATATTTTCATTTGATATACTGAATCGCCGTATCCTCATTTTCTTTATTAAATATTAGTTAGCCCTGTGGTGCCTTTTTGACGGAGTATATGGATTGCCACAGTCGCTGTCCATGCATCTTCCCGAGGCAAGGGAGTTAACCGACTATAAAAGTCCAGTTTCCACCCTTGCCGAACTAGGCTGGTATTAAGGGATTACATTTTGGCTGGACCAACGAGTCTATGCATAGTCCAATCAAAATCGCGCACCGAAATCGAAATCCTGTTCGTCAACTGTCGTGAAGATTTCGGTCGATTGCAGGATTTGCAAAGCATGTGCACCGCCAACTCGTTGTCAGCAGATCTTTTCCAACTCTTTTCATGTTTTTAATCAAGGTGCTCACGTATTTGATGCATTTCGCGATGTAAGACCCGTTTTATCACAATATAGATCTTGATTATCGATCAGATCGTCCTGACTCGGCGCCACCATTTTGTGTGAAGCAAACGCGAGCGATGAGAGAGGTGGAATCTGATTGGTCCATAGGAGAGGCTTAAAAGGGACATAACTGGTAATAGCCAGTGGTGCCGCTACGATCGAGCCCAGTAATTCCAGCCTAGTTCGGCAAGGGTGGAAACTGGACTTTTAAAGTCCGTTAACTCTCTTTCCTCGGGAAGATGCTGTCCGTGCCACAGAGATGCGTCCCGTCACACAGATTATCATTCTTGCATTGTTCGCACCACGATAAGACGACTGGTATAGACAGGTGTATTTTATTAAAGTCTTACCGCTGTACAAATCATATAAAAACAACAACGACATATGTGCACATATGTCTTTGTACTAAGCCTCTCTATACACAGTTATGTATTTACATGATACAAATCAAACTCATTAAAATCAGACCTTAGTTCTCGCTACCGCTAAACAAAGATCTGAAGACATCCCATTAGGGGTCACGTCAGAACGACCTTTCATCCGACCAATCAGTGCGTCGCTTACCAGATTATGAAAGTGACAGTCGGAATGTGATTTCTAATCATGCAATCTCGAAAACTTTAACATGGGGTATTCCGAACGATAATTACGGGTTTAACGACTGAATCCTTACAATCTAGACAATCTATTAGCCATTCCAGAATGTTGTTTTTTTGTTTAGGTTTCAAATTTGTAATCGAGAATTTGTTAAAATATGTTTCGAAGCGTAGTCGCCAATTTGAAATTTGTGCCGTAAAGCACGAGAAAGCTGCCTTCTGATTGGTCATTCCATTGGTCGGTCAAAGCTCGCGCAAGGTTGGTCTGACGTGACCCGTAATGGGATGTCCTCAGATCTTTGTTTAGCGGTAGCGAGAACTAAGATCTGATTTTAATGAGATTGTAATACAAATATACTTGGTACAAATAATGTAAATCGTGAGCATTAAGTATATTTGCGCAATTTTAACATTTTTTTTGCAGGTTTTGGCCCCATCAATACATACACAGGGTCTCAATATTATAAAACAGGCTTTTTTACAACTGTTTTAAAATTGAAACCTGTACACGTGATTACACTTTAGGAAAATTTCATGTCTGATATTATTATACAAGGGGCAGATAAGTGAGCATGTCATTCATCTTCCACCAAGTTTGTACATTAAAAAACGTCTTTCATTTATGGGGACAGAAGTGTAACCCCCAGTTTCAATTCGAATTGGGGCTACGCCAACAGGAAGAACTGTTTATATTCTGAAAGAAAGATTATTTCTGTGCGTCCAACACCTAGCGCTGCAGTTGGTCATTGACGCTCTGGTGATGCGCAGCCATCCGATAATCCAGGCACAAGAGAGATACATTCAGTCTCTAACCCCCCCCCCCCAGAACCACCAACGACAACCCCCAACCCTTACCCCCATCCCCCAATCAGTGATGTCACGTGTATTATGTAATTAGGTAAACCGAAACCAGCATTCATTTTATGCTCGGTTTCACTTTCACTTCAAACCATGAGTATAGTGAATTATTCAAGATCCGTTATGAAATCCGCGTAGTGCGATTTTCCGGCTACATGCGATGAATTAATGAGAACATTCGTTATCCAGTAATACCCTTAGGCATATTTTGTGCACATGAGCTGTACGCCTAAATTGTGTAGGATTCCTTGGGAGTGTGTTCCTTCCTTCGCTGTTTTCATAAATATGTTCCTGGTTTGATCAAAATCGCATCCACAGAAACCAAAGGATTTGTCCTCTTGAAAAGTCACATCGACAAATTCTTGTGATTTAATGTCCACGTAACCCTCATAATTAATGTAAGCGTTTGTCGCGTTGATTTCTTTCACACTTATAACACATGTAAATACAACAATATGGAACCAATTCATGAACGACAAGTTTCACGGTGCTAGTTGAGACAAGAAAACATTGATGCAGAGCATCAAAGTTCCCCGCCATATGTGATGCCTCACAAACGCATAATTATGATGTTACTGAAAGGCATGATGGAGCATAATTATATTAACCACAAATAACACAACGCTGTTGTGGAAAAAAATATTATTTATTTTGAGTATTTGGCAATACAGTTGATACATTTGCATAGGGTACGTCTATTTAAAAATAGTTTCTTGTTTAACGCCGCACTCAGCATTATTCCAGCCATATGACGGAGGTCTGTAAATAATCCAGTCTGGACCAGATCATCCAGTGATTGACACCAAGAGCATCGAACTACGCAATTGGAATATGATGTTTTGCATCGACCAAATCGGCGAGCCTGACTACCCAATCCTGTTCGTCGCCTCTTACGGCAAGCATAGGTTGCTGAAGACCTATTCTTACCTGGGTCTTTATTTAAAAAGTAGATCGAAGGAAATGGAAGCAATTTCTGGCACAAATGTAAACATGTGGAAATAGTATCAAAACTGCCAACAACATTGGCAGATGCACATACTCAAAAAATAGATCACATTCTTTTTACACTTAGCATTTGGTTATAATAATGTAAATGAAAATACTAAGGGCTCCATATGGCAAAAAAAGTCATACTAGATAAGGTCTTTTTGTCACAACCACAGATGCACATACTCAAAATATTATCACGTAGTTGGAGAACATTTCAATACCGGGACTAATCAATAACGGAGATTCCTCGTCTCTTGTTTTACGTTTTTTGGTCAGTTTTTTTTTGTATTTCTTTCTTTCAAAGAATAGTAATTGTGATCAAGATGAGTTGAGTTACTTGGTTTTTTTCTATATACTGTTTTTTATCCAGTGTCAGTAACTGTTGTGGAATGTGGTTTACTTGAAAAAACAAACTGGTTTGAGTTCATATGATGATGATTGATTGGTTTGTCGTTTAACGCCGCACTCAGCAATATCCCAGCTATATGACGTCGGTCTGTAAATAATCGAGTCTGGACCAGACAATCCAGTGCCTAATATCATGAGCATCGATCCACGCAATTGGGATCGACGCCTCTTACGACAAGCATAGTAGCCTGATATATATATACTGTTAAGATGTAACATGATAATTCATCCATACTACTAAACAGAAGTAAAACCGCTTG